CCCGGAGCCCCCCGACGGCAGCCGAGCGGGCGGAGCCGCCCCGGGTCCGGCGGGAGGAGGGGGCTGGGGCCGGGACCGGGACCGGGACCGGAACCGGGCGCGCCGCTGTGATGGGGCTCGGAGCGGAGCCCAGGATCCTGCCCCTGCCCCTGGACAGCCCCGCGCCCGGCTCGGCGCAGGGCAGTTGAATCCGGGGCGGGAGACGAGCGAGGCCAGGTCCGGGATTGCACCTGCCGGCAGCGCGCGGCGTGGATGGGACCTCGGCTGCCAGGCGCCCGCGGCCCCGGCAGGCGCCACAGGGTAGCTCGCGGGCCGGGAAGGAGCCTGGCCCCGGCCCCGCGTCTCCCCACGGCCATGGGAGTGGAGATCTCCTAGGCGGGCGCTGACCGCACCGCGCCGCCTTCTCTCCTCGCCCTTCACTCTGAAGCCGACATATATGAAATGGGAAATCGGGGGCTCTTCGGCGCCCTTTGTTACCTGATGTTCAATGCACCGCTGCTCTTCGTTGCCGATGGTAAGTAGCCGGCTTTGCCCGCCCTCCTCCTCCGGCAGGCAGGCAGGCGGGCAGGCAGCCCCCCGGGAAGGACTGGGAGCGCGGGCAGGGGGCAGGGGAAGGGCTGGGGCTGGCGGCTCTGGGCAGCGCCTTGTCCCTGGACGGATGGAAAGGAGACGCCGGGCTCGGGGGGGCAAAGCTCTCGCAGCCGGAGGAAACCGAGCCGGGGCTGCGGGATTTCACGCTGCTGCGCTGCAAGGACCGGGGGCGTCGCTCGGACGCAGGACACCGCCGGGACCTGGGAGCCGGAGCCCCGGTCCCAGGGCGGCCCGATGCTGCGAGGTGGCCCGCCCTCCTCGCCTCCCCGGCCCGGCCCGGCCCGGCGGCCCCGGGCGATGGTGGCTGAGCGCCGGCGCGCCAGGATCCCCGCGCGGAGCAGGAGCGGGAGCGGCTCGGACCGCACGGACAGGGCTTGATCCCCCCTAACCAGCCCCTTGTCATTGTGTCTCCTCCTCCCAGCGACATTCACCGAAGTTCCCAAAGATGTGACTGTTAGGGAGGGAGACGATATTGAGATGCCCTGCGCTTTTCGGGCCAGCGGATCCACCTCTTACTCCTTGGAAATCCAGTGGTGGTACCTTAAGGAGCCAGCCAGGGAGCTGGCGCACGAGCTGGCCATCAGCGCCCCTGGCAGCCGGAGCAAGGTAACGGGCGGGCACGGCCCTGCTCCGAGCCCCCCGCCGGGGAAGGGCGCCCGGGGCTGGCGGGAGAGCCCGGCCCACCGCGGCCCCA